TCGGTGAGGTGAGCATAAAGCGTATCTTCGATACCGAACCCTCACGCAGTAGTAGTAGTAGTAGTAGTAGTAGTAGTAGTAGTAGTAGTAGTGGTAGTAGTAGTAGTAGTAATAGTAGTAGTAGTAGTAGTAGTAGTAGTAACAGAAGTAGTAGTCTGCTGAATGTTTATTTGCACCCGCTCGCTCCGATGAAAAGCACTTATGCAGACTTGCTTGCCTCAATACAAACACCTCCGTGCCGACAAAATTGTTTGGTCTTAAACATCTACACGCAGTGTCCCACTGGATGATGTCATCATTGTTTTGCCGGCTAGTTCTTCGCAAGTCAAGCCGAATTTTGAGGAACAGGAGTTCGGGTTCAGAAACCGTGCTTCATTGATTCAAGCTTCCGTGGCAAAATAGCGCTAATCCAAGCTTTCAAACTCCGTTACAGCGTGCCGTCTATATGCACTCCACCAACTACGCCAACAGAGTAGAGTCGCATTGCTACACCACTTACCGAGATAGTATATTATTTGTCAACACCAAAGCTCGAAAGTAAAACAGCAAGCTGGTGAAGGCTACACACTGCACGATGCTTCGAGACCATGCTAGATGGAAGGTGGGCGTGCAACGATATGAGATAACAGATTTCTCCAGTTTGGCGCATCCTCACATTGTGGTCGTGACGAAGGCTCCGTTGCTTGTATGCCGGAGCAAAAATCCAAGGGCCGAGCAACAAGGAACAAAAACAGCAAGGCAACCTCGCAAACATGTTTACAACATAGACTCTGCGCTGTGCACAACCGATTATGCATCCAATTCATTCGTTCTTGCAGGGTGTTCGGACATGAGCTCGAGTTGCCCAGATGTTGAGCATTTTAGAATTGTTGGCCACTCGCATGTGAGCGAATGCTGCCATTTGGGACCGAAAGAGGTTTCATGGATTCGTTGGCAAGCATGAAGTTATAATTCGATGTACGTGGATAACCATTTGCAACCTATCGGTTCCGGGCGAGCCATGTGAATGTGAGAGTTGAGTCTCCCCGCTATTGCTTGGTTTTAATTTTCGATCAGAGCAGCAAGACATCATTTTATTCCGACATGGGGTGATTTGGATCGCCATGAGCTCGGCGGCGAATCTTTGCGAAAAATCACGCTCGCGCTCCCGGAGTAGAAGTGCTGCACAACCGCAACCGCAACTCGTTTAGTTCAGGTGGCGTTGATGTTCGAAGGTTTCAGCAACATTGAAGGTTGGCGTGCAGGAAGGTTGCATTCCCTGCCAGTAAGATCATCGAACAAAATAGGACAATGAATGAATCATGTCAGGTTGGTTGATCAGTCTTGCGGTGTATCTTGTCGCATGCTTGTGCGGCATGTGAGGCACGCTTCGGATCTTTGGGGTGCCAGTGGCGGCCATGACAGCAAACTCGACGAGAAGGTGGTGAAGTGGATGTGCAGGTTGCTCGAGCCGCTAGCCGCTGTCCGCAGCGGGTAGCGGTAAAGTCTACAAACAGGGAGCATTCAAATCGACACACTGCCCGATACTGATAATGTTTCAGGCAAAGCTGTAACAGCCATTGCCGAAGTTTGTGAGGCAGAGAGGTCTACGAGTACTGCGTCTCTTGGGTCAGGACTTGGCAACGGGCTGTTTTACGTTGCTCGTTGATGATTTGAAAGGGAAGTGAGCGCCACGATACACTGCAATGCAAAGCTTTCACTTTTCAGTATGGAATGACTGGCGTTCAGGAGCCGTCATGCCACTCTTGCCGGCGACGTTTGTTCCTGCGCGGCCCGTGGCAAAGTTAAAGTTTATCAGATGCGAGATTTCAGGATTCTTGCATGTAGACAGGACATGAGAGGACTTTTGAGCCGATGTTGTCTGCATTTGCAAAACTGGCACATCCTGCTCTATTGACATGACTTAAGGCTAGGACGCGGGTCACTGTCATGGCCGGGATCCAAGACAGCGCAGTGTCGGCCGTCTAGATACCCAGCATCTGTCACCATCGCATATTCATCGTTGCACAGCAGTGCACGCACCGTACCGTACCTGCACAAACACAGAATGCGGTGCTCAGTTTTGGGTCGTTGCCCAGGTGAGGGTTTACCTGGTGTTGTGACGGGTTCGTTGACTCAGGTACCCATTCGGATGCGCATGGCCCTCAAGGCTTTGGATGAATCGAAGCATCTACAACTTGTGATACTTGTGGCCGCGGCAGCCACGTTCATTAGTGTAGCATAAAGACAGCGAGACTGCCTGCAGCAGGCGACGCTGGCCGATGTTCGTGCAAGGCTCGCGGCGGCAGGCAGGGCAAGAGTCACGAGACCTGTTCTATGGCGTCTACAGTTATTTATCCGGTCGCAGCTATGTGGATTTAGTCACGAATCAAGTGGGTCCCCAAAGCTGCAGTTGCTGGGTATTGACAAGCAAAGCAGCCCTTGAAATCCAGAATCTCGCTTGCCTGTGGATGAGCCATGCCGATCAGTCTTGCGGAACTGTGATGGAGAAGGCATCATGGCAGCTATCATCAGCCACAGGATGCAAAAGGAGTTTGACCCCCGCGGCTCCTCATGCTCAGGCTAGTTGGGAGTCATTGCTCGCGGAGCGTAAGCGGCTGAAGTGTGAGGCAGATGTGCTGGGTTGGGGCGAGCCTTCCGTATGGGGAGCTTTGGAGAGCCCCAGGCAAGTAAAGCCGAACTTCCAGATCGACTTCCGACTCTCTTCTTCTACCGTCCGTGTAGAAGACGGCCTCCACTTGGCGGCCTGTGTCCCGACACTTTCTGGCCTCTTGCACGAAGAGTCGCCCGGCTTGAGAAGTGTTGATCTCAGCTCGGCGAAGATCTGCAAAGATGCTTTGCTGGTGGCCCTTCGCTTTGCTTCTGCCGGTCCCGGTGCAAACGAAGAAGACACGAGACTTTGGGCTTCCGGCCAGCAGAGTCCACGACCGATTGCACGTGCTTCCCGGCCCGAGGAGGTGTTGCAGGTGGAGGAAGCTCTGCGCTGCTTCGACGTGCTGCGTGCTGCCAAAATCCTGGGTCTTCCACGCCTAGAGGAGGCAGCGAGGGGACGGCTGGAATCTGGAAGAAGCCGTATTTCCTCTGGCTCCCCCAGTGTGCTGCCGCTACCACTGTTGAGCGAGGCTTCTGCCATGCCACTTCTGGCTGCAAGTTTTGGACAGGAGAAGTGCATCTCCCAATGCTGCCTGCGGTTCCTGAACAGTCGAGGCAGGGACCAGGTTTTGCAGGGTCGTGAGCGACAGCTGGGTGTAATCTATGCTACACAGCCCCTGGTCGGTGCCATCCTGTCCGGCATTTTCAAGGAGGCTGCCCCGGCTCTGTCAGCCAACGGCGGCGCAGCGGCTTCGCCGGTCCTTTTGGATTTGTTGTTTGGCCCAAGCCGTGCTCCAAAGCAGACCCAGCCCGTTGACTTGAAATCTGTCCGGGACCTTTTGGGCTCCGGCCCTGCGTTAGGACACAGCGATCGTGAGAGTTTGGGCAAAACGGAGGTTTCGTGAGCCTTCTTCGGACTTCGGCTGCTGGTTTTGACATGGCTGCTCACATGCACACATGCGGCAGATTACGTTCCATTCTGCGACCTTCGACTACGATCATGTTATGAGGTATCTTTCGCAGGAAGCGGGGCTGCTCGAATCTGCCCACCCCAATTAGGATTTCATGCCGCGTGAATGGCGCAACTGCAGGGGTGTGTTCCATTTCTTTTCACAGTCTGACAGTGATGCAATGCAGGAATAGCTGTGGACGGGAGGCAGCTCTTCTTCCGGGGCGACCCGGAGGTGAGCCGAGACATGTCACTTGGGCTGTAGGCAGTGCCTTGACTGCCGAAATGGCTTGACAGGATGTGGATGAGACTTTGCCGCTGGCAGAGCTGAAGGACTTGCGCTTCGTGCTGTTCCCGGAGACAGGCAGATGGAGCAAAATGGTGCTGGCAGTAGTAAGTATCGCAGGAAGCGCAACCGGGATATTTGCGCTTGCTTTCCTTGCAGGCCTCCTTCCGTGGCAGCTGTGTGCAGCACATCGAGCATGCGAGCGGTTGGTGCGGCACTCTTTACCGCATACGTGCATATTGCTGAAGTGTTGTTGAAGAGTCTTCAGGATTCGTCCCATGTAGATCGGAGCAGCAAGCAGTTTTTCGGCAGACCGAAGTAAGAACAGAAATTCTGCAGATGCCCTCCATGTCCCAGCATCTTGGGAGATAAGCTGTTATCTTTATGGATGCAGTTCCCGTCGGTCTGACTTCGGCTCCCGACTTCCCTCCAGATGCGAGGTACATGAGCGCCTTGCCGGGTGCCGGCCTCGAGTACTGAGCTGGTCCAGAGAGAGAGAGAGAGAGGGGCGTGTCTCATTGAGGAACTGGGCCGCAGCTGTCGCCAGGACGTGCTGATGTCGCTGCCGGGTGTCTGGTGCCGCCTGCCAGTTCATCGTGTGCAGGAATCCTATGTACAAGACGCGACTGTGCAACCATTGGGCCGTGGACCAAGAAAATGCAGGACTCCACATGCATGTATAAATGATGGCTGTAGTATAGGCATGTGCGCAAGCGCTCTACTTTTACTCTCCTCCGGCATCTCCCTGTTCGTTTCTTGACTGGACTCAGGCCTCTCTACAGGTTTCCGTATCGGAGTGCCGCAGCATTTCATTGATTGTATTATGGCGGTCCCTCCTGTTTCTGTTCAGGTCAAGCACGGCCCCCACCTCTCCGAAACCCAAAGAGTCTGCCAAGGATGCCAGTTTTTCCCCTACCTTTTCTACTAATCTTTGTGGTTCTACTTGAGGGCCGCCTTCTTTATAAACCCTGTGCAACAAGCACCCCCAAAGGGACGAACTAACCTCGACAGGGATCGACGAACTAACCTCGACAGGGATGCAACCTCCATTATATGCTTAGGTTTCTGGCATCTAAAATGCTAGCATCTGTGGGGATTTTTGGGTAGTGATTGCTCCGATTTGAGAAGTTTTGGATTCTTATTTTTGAATGCCTGGCAATGCTTCCTCTGATCCACTGATCCACTCCTTACCAAAAGGAAGATCGACTAGATAATTGAGCGGGGGAGGGGGTTGACCGGTCGTCGGCGTGGTTCTCGCACTCTCCACAGCAGAGGCACTGGCTGGCGTTCGGATCATGACATCGACACCCCTCGCCTCGGCGGCATCAAAGACGTCCCAGGGGACAACGTCCTCATTGAGTACCCTCCGTGGCTTGCGTGGTGGGGTTGTGCTCCTGTGAGAATCTTCCACCGCAACTGGGCTCCCACAAACCGAGTCCGAGTCATGCAGAGCACGACTTCGTGCCAGCCACTGCTGTTTAGAAACAGGTCGCGTTCTTGTCGCGATGACGATCCCAGCCCTCCAAAGCGACGATTGTCACGAGCATCGCAAATGGGCTCGATCCTGTGATTCGAATACCAAACTGCAGGATCCCCGACAGTCAGCACTTGTTGAGGGGACTGGGAAGGCGCGGGGGCAGCGGTTCTCGTACATATTTGTCTATGTAGACATACATGATGTACATATATATATATATACATACACATAATCTGCACACTTATGTACACATGCAGATCCATAGGAAGATGCAGAATATGACAGACAGCAACATTGATAGTCGTGCGCTCTGCAATTTTCTTGGTGGATTTAGGTCAAACGGTCCCGCTTCGAGTTCAGATATCACGTCATTAGTCAACCACGTGAGCGCGTGCACCTGCACGGGGGGTTTGCCCCTTCGCAACACAGCACGACAGGGAGAACAGAACAAGAAGGAGAAACAGAGCGAGTTACTCGACTTCATGTTGCTTTTCTGAATAAGAGCCCCCCCAGGGAGTGGCCACGGCCTAGTGGGTGGGGCAACACGACTGTTTGTCTGGGAAACGGATGAAAGCCACCACGTGGCTTTGGTGAGCCACGTTTGTTTGGCAGGGTCGGTTCTGATGTTTGAGTTGTTTTGTTTTGACAAAATGTAATGCTGTACATCCTTCGTTGCCATGCAATCTGCTTTTCAACGGTGAGGTAGGCCGCTCTGTGGTCCCCGTTGCCCTCCACGCAGAAGGTGTGAAGAGACATCGGAGAACAGTCCAGGGCGGCACATCGACCCCGCAGCCAGACAGCTAGAGCCTGCACGTGGCGGCGAGGGCTGGGGTCCACCCACGGGGAATTATCATCGCAATTGAGACATCGGTCAGTGAGATAATTCCAGACTTTTCAGGGCCCGATCGTGTTGCCATGCAATCACATACGGATTTGTTGATTAAAGCTGCCGAGCACCCCGAGATGCTTTTCTCTATCGTGTTTACCGCCGTGAAGCACAATCGTTTTACTTTTTACGCACAGCAGCAATGCAACTTGCAGAAGTCACAGCATGGGAAGCACAGGGTGCAGTTCAGGGCACTCGCAACGTTTTGAACAGTGCCTTCTACTCCCTTCGCATCATCCAAAAAGAAACGGGTCAAGCCACACAAGAGGTGGAGCCAACAGCCTGCAAGGCAAAAATTGCCTTCCAGGCTGTTGCCTTCAAGCAGCGTCCAATGCACTCCGTGCCTGTACTTCTGACAATGCGCAAAGCTGCAAACAGCCAAACGCGACAATGCAGAAGAGATCTTTTGAAGCTCGTTCTCAGTGCTGTCCTAAGTCTTAGGCCGTAGGCCTCATGAAAGAGAAGGTGGCATCAGCTTAGCTCGGCTTCGTGCGTTCTTCCAGGTGACGAAAGGGAGTTGTCCGCGAGCAGACCGTTGTGTGGGCATCTCAGGCAGGGAGAGGAGAATGATTGGAGCTCAGACTGTCGGTGAGAGTGCCCCGAAGTGTTCTTTCTTCTCTCATCTGTAGGGCGAATTCCAGCATATTCCAATGCCGGCTGAGGTGTATGCACGTGGGTCGGCTGAGCTAAGGCCTTCGCAGGTCCAGCTCTTCATGGGTTGAGTTTAAGCCACTGCGCTTTTCTTGTTCGTCTGTGGATCCGAAAGGCGCCAAGTGTCGTACGGGGCCAACATGGCGCAACCCCATCGCTGGCTGTTCCTTCGTGTCTCAGCTGAGACTTCGTCCATGTCGCACATTTGGGTTTTGCTGTTGCACAAGCAGGTCAGTGAGATCGTAGGGTTCGCGTCCGTCGTGCAATTCTGTCAGCTGAGTTCCGGTCAATCCAGCCAGGTCCACAGATTCGCTTCTGTGAAATGACCCAGCTGCCTTTCAAAGTGTCCTGTGAGCAGTGCCGAGGTGCTTCAGCAAAGGTTCCTGAGGCCCAGCCGAACGTACTCTCGCATACTCTCGCCATGGCTTCCGTGCACCGCTGTCACTCCAACCAGGTTGTCTTTACGGTGGACAAGGTGCCTGCTGTACCTATCGGGGCCTTCTCGCGCAGCTTTTGGGAGAGTTACTGCCGCAGGAGGAGGAGCGGCGGCGTGCCGAGCGAGCCAAGCGCTTCGCGCCACGGCAAAAGGCCTCCTTTGAGGCGTTGCCTGCCCTTCCGAAGTGCGGTGTATTGTAAGAGAGCAGCTTTCGGTGCGTTCAGCTGCAGGCAGAGGAGAAGGCCGCGGCAGGGTGTCTTCTCTTGCTTTCTACCTTCCCATTAGATTTGTAGCAGCCGTGTATCAGCCTTCCAAGGCCTCCCCCAGGTATGGGCTGTTCAGGACCCGGGGGATGCTGTCCTGTGTGGGAGGCCGTTATGCCAGGCAGGCCTACCTGTACAAAGGGATGGGGAACTACGCACCGAGGGCATCATCTGGCTAGGGAGGGAAGAGGGCAATGGCCGGGGAGCACATGCATGCCCGTTTTTGAAAAGCAGTGGGAAACATCTCCGACAGCTAGCCAGCAAGGCTCCACCTCCTGAGCCCGAGCCTGCAGTGGAGGCAGAGGCCCCAAGGGTAGGGCTCGGCAACCGTTGGCAGGTTCCGGCATCTGTAGATATTGCGCCATAGATGCTGTCTGCACAACTCTTAGCGCAATCTCCCGAGGGAGCTGCCTTTGATGATATGGGCCTGAACGAGGTGCACGGTGTGCGGAATGGGTGACGAGTTTCTTGATCGACACGGGCTTGAAGTTTGTGCCCGGAGTATCGTAGACACAACTGTTGCCAGGACCAAATCGCTGATTACCTTTTCGAGATGCAGCAGTACCACCGTCCTGTCCCTGCAGGGGGGTCAGAAGTGAAACGAGCGAAGAAGAACTTCTCTTTCCAGCTTTTTTCGCACGCATTTCCTTCTCAAGCTGCGGGGGCCGCGCTGGCCGAGAGCAGCTCCTTATCAGGCAAGGAGAGCGGGAGAGAGCAGGGCTCGGTTTGCGCAGCGCGCCTGACCGCCGGGCCTCCCGGGGCCAGGCTCCCCATGCGCTGGACCCACGCCAGCCGCTGGGCCCGCTGCCGGAATGCACACCTCTCTGCGTTTGCCCGCCAGGCTTTCCAGTCCTTGTGCTCCTTTTGCAGGACCTAGCTTTGACCACTCTCCCTCCTCCCTCCCTTGAAAGAAGGGCCTGAGCCCCATAAGTGGAGAAATGAGCCGATTCCCAAGGCCCAAGTCCCACCTCTCTGTTCAGGGGGGCCAGCTTTTCCTTTTTCCCCAGAGACAAACCTTGCAACATTGCGGGCAAAGCCGAATGTCTACTCTAGTTTTTAGCGCATTTGCCCGCACGAAGAAACATGACAACCTTCGAATAGGAATGTACTCCATTGTCCCCACATCTTCTGCCTACATGACTCAGCAGCCGTTGCTTCGTCGACATACTGGAACGGAGCAAGGGAAGCTGTCAGGTGAATCTTGGACTTCAAGGTCATCGCGGACTCGCCAGCTGCCCACCCCTAACCCGGATTTGCGCTGATACTCGTCATGAATCTTGACATACCCTCGCAACTTGCAGCAAGAGCCAATCGTCCGACGACCTATCGCCGAATCAAACGCAAGGAGTTGCGGCCGGCACATGGTTTCGTCGAGCAAAGGATGCGCACACCAGGCAGCGGCGGCTGTTGTTCCGAGCTCGGTGGTAGGCAGTCATACAAAAGGTTTAAGGGACCTTTTGATGCACTTGTAAATGAGCCTGTGAGATGCTTGTATCGGAGTCCTTGTCGCATTGTCGGACTAGCGCGTGGTGACCGGACGATCTTAGTCCGCATGATGAAGCGCGATTTGGGAACTTGCCATGAGGGTTTGACGTTTTGTGATAGGGTTTACTGTCCGCGCGGTGTTTATGGTTCTGGAATTTTAGGGTTTAAGGTTGTTTTGGTCAATGAGGTTCTTCAAGAGAGCAGCCCAGCCCCTTATGAACAAGAGTGTATGGTGTTGAGGGTTCATGGTGTTTAGTTCTTTGTTTTTTGGATTCAGAATATCGGTTCTGTTAAGTTTCGGGAACTACGGCTGAGGTTTTGGGGCCAGGGTTGAGATAATTGCGGCTTAGCACAGTAGCACAGGATTTTGTTGTTCAGGGTTTTCAGGGTGTAGTGTGTAGAGGCTATGGTTCGTTCGTCCCCTTCGCAAGGTCCAGTGCACTAGTTTCGGGTGCGTGAATCTGGTGCATGCATACATATCTGATACACGTACATTCGTGAACCCTCGGGGTATAACTGTTGTGGTGCGCCTCACTCGAGGGGGGATGGATGCAAGATGACCGGTCATCTTGCAATCTTGGTCTAAATGGTAAAACGGTAGACTAGTCGGGCAATTGCGGCAAGTGGGGCAAGATGACCAAGATTACTTCTTGCACCCCAAGTGGGGCAAGTGGGGAAAGATGACCTAGCTGACCGTACACGTTAGTGATTCCAGATTCCCGGCACGTCGTAGTAGTAGTAGTAGTAGTAGTAGTAGTAGTAGCAGTAGTAGTAGTAGTAGTCGTCGTCGTCGTCGTCGTCGTTGGCTGGGTTGGGTTCGGTGTTGTTCTCGCTGTTCTGGGGCTTGGTTTGTTTTGGAGAACGGCGCTTGCCGAAATGCAAGCATGGCCCTTGCCCTGGCTGAACATGATCCGATTAGTTCTGGCTGTAACAAGGTTCCTCGTAGGGCTCGCTGGTGGCAGTCAGAGGATACTTTGCGTTTTCATATGCTGCAGCTGGCGATGGAGTTTTATCTTGAGCACATACGCCCCCTCCCTATTTCAGACCGGTGCACGTTGCAAGCTCAGCAAGCAATCTCCTGGAGCGACCTGGCAACGCTGCTGGTCTGGCAGCAGCTGTGGAGGGAGCTGCATCCTGAACGCAAGGGAGACTTCATTCTGCGAACCTATAGATTGGACGAGGAGTTTGCACGTAGCATGGTTAGCACAGCCCATGCTGCGCAGATCGGTCGTGCGGAGGACCTGCAAACAATGGATTAGAGGGTTTCATTACAAGCAGCTTACTCGTGCACTTCGGGGGGCCTACAAGCAGCAGAGACAACAGCCTCGGCGACCTGGCATCTATGGAAACGAGGCGCTGCTTGCATGCTTACAGCTTTACCTGTTGCCTCCGGTCGCTGCAGCCTGCATGGTTTACATGGTTGGAAGCCTCATTGCATTGCAGTTCAAGGCTCAAAGCGGTACTGTTGGGAGCAAGGAAATTAAGACGAGATGTCGCACCTTGATGACCTGCCATTCTGCATCAGGCAAAACCTTGCAGGAATTGGAATGTCAGGCGGCACCGCGGAAGCAACCACGGCTTCATCCTCCGTCGCGAATCGGTCTTTGCTTCGTCCGGCAGAGGGCGAGCGAAGTTCGGTGGAGGCTCGGAGCTCGCGAAGCAGGAGGCGAAGAGCATCAAGCTCAACCTAGGGCGAGACTGCTGCCGAATAACAGAGGCAGAAGCAGTGCGGAAGGACGAGGGGCGAACAGAAGCCCAAGAGGTCCGCCACCGCCGACCCCGGTCCGAACCACGGCTAGCGAGCTGGACCCTGGAATGCCTGAGGAGGCTGCTCGAGAGGGCTCTCCATTGTCTCATAACTCCATGGACGGAGGAGATCGAATACAGGGAGAGGCTACGGAGGCTGGCCGGGACACCCTCTTGGGCGACAGGAAGCAGGCAGGACAGGCGGATGGTTCAGGCACATGACAGAACGACCCGAAGGCCGCGAAACCCTGTTGACGTCTTTCTGGAAGAGGACCGGGAGGAAGAAGATCGGGAAAGCGATCCACTGGCGACTGACTCAAGAAGCTCGCCGGAAGGCGATCGGTCGCGACGGGAGGAGCTCGAGATTGGTTTCTCTCCTCTCCGGACCCCGAACACCGGTTCCTCGGAGGAAGACTTTGGCTTCGGGTCGCAGACCAAAGACTGACGGGGGCACTGCTAAAGCTCAGCCAAAGGGGCCGACGCGCGAGATGAACACAGCGCCCCTGTGGGAAAACAGTCGACTGCGAAGATCCCTCTTCTGCTGCAGAATGCTGTCTACTACATGCTTTGCTACTTGCACATGAGCCAGGCCTACTACCTTCACGAGGATCAGTTCCACCAGGGTGGCACTCCTCGAGAACCAGGTCGGGCCTATACACAGCCACATTTGCTCATACCGCAATTGATGACATATTCAGATTTCTTTACAGCGCCAACAAGAAGAACATATCAGAGCCGCCCGGGTCCCAATTCCCGGGGTGGTGGTCGACGTGGTTGCACAGCTTTTATATTCTGGTGCATCCTTATCATGACAGGACCTTCTTTGACGTCGGCCACTACAGATGCGAGGGTTAAAGGCCCACCTCCAGGACCTTTGCAAACATCGGCTCCGGCCGGTGCGAAAAATTGCGGGTTATCCGGAGGAAAGCTTGGTGCTGCCAACCTGTCCGCGACGAGGAAGCGATCCTTCAGGCGGGCGGTGCATCGTGCAATGAGATGCGGTAGCACTTTTTACAGGGGCAAACTTTTTACTTCTGACGAACTTGAAAATATACGACTTCCACAGCACGCAGGGGCGCGAAGTAAACCTAGGAGGGAATCAAGGCGACTTCGTGTGCTCTGTGCCAACCTAGATGGAATGACGACAGTGGTGTATGATCACATGGTGAAGTGGATGCAGACAGCACCTTACGACATTATATTCCTGCAGGAAACACACAGAGGATTTGGCTCGGAGCCGGCGGAGTGGAAGGCAGGTCAGTGGACTTTTGTTAGCTCGCCGGATCCCTCTTCCCGCTTTGCAGGGGTGGCTATAGCCATACGAACCACAGTGGCGGAGCACTACACTGCTCGAAGTGCGGCTGTGATACCAGGCAGGCTGCTACATGTTCGTTTGAGTGGGGACGCTTACGGCATTGACCTTCTGTCTTGCTATCAGCACGTGATCACGAACAGGGAGGCTCGGACTCAGAATGCCTCCAAGCGGGAGCACTTCTGGACACAGCTGGGGAGGTACACGTCGTCGTTGCCTCAGAGAAACATTTTGATAATAGCCGGTGATTTTAATTGCTCGGCTAAGAGGTTGCAGGGGTATGCTGGTGCAGGGGTATGCTGGCCGAACGGCGACGGGGCCTAGCAGCTACTACTTCGACCAGGACGACTTTATGGGTTTTGTGCAGGCCCATAGCCTATGCATGCTCAACACATGGTGTAAGCCCTCCGGGAATGACATGCACACCTTCATAAATGGCTCTCAGAAGAGTCAGATTGACTTCATCATGACAAGGAGATTTCAGGCCGATTCACTATCAAGGGAGGCGCGCCCTCTCCTACATCTGGATTTCTCGCCTTGGAGACTCGGTGCTCGACACAGGCCATTGGAAGCATCAGTTCCACTCAAGCCGGGCTGGACCGTGGTCAAGAATCGCACAAAGCCTGCACCTCAGTTTGACAAACCGGGCCTGGAAGCGTCTCTACAAAAGGGGATGCTCGGGCGGAGGCTTTACGGGAGCGGGTGAAGAATGCCCTCCGGGAGGCAGAGCAACACACGGCTGACAGCTTGAATTCCATCCTGCTTCAAGCTTGCGTTGATCAATTTCCGCCGGTGCGCAAGGAAGCTGCTCTACGACCGTGGCAACAAGGGGATGTACAGACCTCACTCTGCACGATGTGGCGGCGCAGGCGGGAGATGCAGAGAGTGGGCAGGAACGTCAGATTGGGCCTCTTTTCCAAGCGACAGGTGCTGCATGCCTCTCGAGCCTATGCTGTTTTCCAGAGCAGCTATCGAGAGGTACGGCGCCGTGGCACCGTAAGCAGCTACTACAAAGGAA